TGGGGGTCCTGCCCAGCCTCCGGTCAATCCAGTCCCGGAGACGCGGCTTGCTGGGACTTGGCACTGCCCCAGGGGCTGGGTTCCGTCGGTGTAGGACTTGTCCTCTGCCCAGCGCTCTTGTCACAGGTGGTTTCTTCCTGGCATGGCTCGGTTAGAAAAGCAACCACATCCCGCTCTCCCAAGGAGGAAATGTACGTCCGTTGCGGTGCAGCTGTGGTCAGGCCAAAGAGATCAGTCGTCCTTGGCAACGTCTTGCGTATTTTGATAGAGCAAACAAAGGTGAGGTAACGCACCCTGCAGTTGTTGAAGAATTAAAGGCAAGAACTATTCCAGTGACCCTACAATACTTAGAAGATGATTTAGGCTTTGTAACCATCTGATATTTGCAAGTAAGATTTAATAATAATAATTAATAATAATAGTAGTAACTAATAATAATCCATTGGAAGTGTGGAAGTCTGCGCCCAAAACAGGCAATTGTGATAGTAGGATTCATTCTCTCCCTGTGGGAACTGCTATCATTATAAATAGGGTGACCTAAGTTGCCTGGAAATGAAGGCCCTATATTTTTAAACACGTGTTTACTGATCACCTGGTGTGTACTCAAGATGGCTCCCATCCCTGCCCACCAAGAGGCTAACCGCTAGGTTGTCTTTCCTGATTTCAACTGCCAAGGCTTTGCTGTTGGCTCCAAACCTCCCTTGACTCTGTTCTCCCTCCAGACTCCCATTTTTCCGTTAGGTCCGTTAGGTAGAAACATTGAGCCCTTGCCATCACAGGGACTGGGCCCCTCCCAGGATAAGATAAAAAGACATCCTTAGGCTGCATATTGGTCTTGAACCAATGTCCACAACTTTATTATGTCATACTAATGTTAGCAGCATTTTAGGTCATTCTAATCGCATTTGTATTGAGCATGTGCACTTAGGTGACAGTGATGCTTTACAAATGTTCTTTAGAAGAGAAGAAATACGTACCCTTTTCCATTTATTTCTGGGATTCTTGGAGATTCGACAAGCTCGTTGAGACCATAGGAGAGGTGTACAGTAGCATGGAATAGTTATGTTAAAGAGGAGTTGCCAAGCTTCTTACCTAATTGCAACACCTAAGTTTCTAGCGACTTGCTCATTCTAAACTTTTCTTTTACCCTAGTACAAACATCAATGTTGGGTACATACATTCTTTTGGATTAGTGTTTTGGGTTTCTTTGGATTAATTCCCAGAAGTGTAATCACTGGGTCATAAGGTCATTCCATTTTTGTTTTTTTGAGGCAACTCCATACTTCTTTCTACAGTGGCTGTACCAATCCGCAGCTCATCTTGTTAAGCTTGCCCTCTTAAGCTTGCTGAGTCCTGGGGGAGACTGAGGCGCACACACAGTAACGCAGGGCAGAATGAATGGGGAGACTGGACAAGGCCTCGAAGAATGGGTAATGGGTAGAAGTTTGACCAGGCGCAGCAGGTGGGAAAATGTAATGCAGTGTCAGAAGACAGTTGAGTCCATTGTGGCTGCTCTGCCGGAAGTATGTTTGCGTGTGTAAGTGAAAGTCGCTGTGGTGGGGATCTCAGCAGAAATGACAGCAGACAGATGAGTTGTGGCTATTTTTTGAAGTGCCTTGAATATGATGTAAAGACTGACATGATTCTCCAGGGAATGGGCAGTGGAACCTTCTGAGTAAGAGACTCTGCTCGGATTCCTCCGCATCTATTGCTGCTTGCCTTTCTGATCCTGCCCAAGCTGGAGCTCATTGAGGGCATCAGTCTCATATTCTGTATGATCATGTCCTGAACACTGAGTACTAGGCCTGCCTCCGAGTAAGCTCTCAATAAATATCACTGAATTAATGAATTCTTAGAGCTCCTGCCTTAGCCTAAGGCCACATGAGCTCCCACTTTCATTATATTGCAATAGTTTCTCACTACACACAGTTGTTACCTTCTCAGGCAAATGAACCCTTCTAAACACTGTTTGGAACATGGCACCTTCATTTTACTCTAATCCTTGGATGAGTAACTCAGTAGATAGAGGCGATGGGGAGGAGACTCCAAGCTGCGGCAATGCTGTGAGCAAAATGACAGATATCTGCCACCCACTGGGTGCCTGGCCACTGTGCTGAGCATTTCCCATGTGCTCTGCTATCTAACAACCATCCTATGAAGGTACCACTGTTATCTTCATTTTACAAACGCAGACAAGAAAGACAAGAAAGATCAATAACCACAAGTGAAGATAACAAGGTGGAAATCTGACATGAAATTTGTATGAATGTGTGAGAGTGTTACTATTATTTTATTCTCAGTTACATTTAGGGAGAGGGAAAAATGAGTTTTTAGGACCTTTAAAGTCATGTTTTAAATTATAGAATATATCAGATCTAAACCAGCTGTGTTTGTAGGCCTCTTCCTGATCATATGTACCTTACTTACTCCCATACAGAAGGAACCACTCCTCTGTTTATCATTCTTTTCTTTCCAGTTTTCCCATATCTGATACATCCCTTACAGTATCTATAACATGGCATATTTTTGATTTTTATGTAAACAGGATCATTTCAAGTTGTTGTTTTTTGGTCACTTACCTTTTTAGCTGCAAATCATGTGCATGACATTCATTTGTGTTGGTGTGTGTTCCTATAGTTCATTCATTTTTACCTGATGTTCCATTATAAGAATAAAGCACACTTTATCCATTCTCTTGTTGGTGGACACTTGGTAGGGTCCAGTGGGGTAGTGCGCTGTTCTTAGCAATGCCTCTGTGACCATTTTTGTTCATGTTTCCTGGTGCACATTGCTAGATGTTCCTGAGGGTATGTTCTTAGAAATGGAATTCCTTGAGCATAAGGAATGTTTAGCATCAACATTATTAGACAATGCCAATGTGTGCTCCAATTTGCACTCCCAGTGGTGTAGACAAGCATTCATATTGCTGAGCATTTTCATCAACACTTGGCATTTTAAAACTTTGGTGTGGGGTAAATGGTATCTCATTTTGGTTTAAAATTGTATTTCCCTGATCACTAATGAGGTGGAACATACTTTTCAATGTTTATTGGTTATTTGTATTTCCCTTTCCAATTCTTGTACAGGTTACTTGCGTGTTTTCTCTTAGATTTATTCCCTGCCCTTCTTTGCTTTGAATCCCAAGGGAGTACTCTGTATTTCCCAGGCTCCCTCACCTACTGCCTTCTGGTTATGTTCAGTCGATGGAAATTCCTGGCAGGAGATGGAAATTTAGGAAGGGAAGAACCCAAGGTGTTTCTCTCTTCTCTGCTTCTGGAGTGGCTGTGTGTCTTCTATAGTTCCAGCTCCTGCCTGGATGTTCACCCTTTGTGGTTCAGTTCCATCCTGCCACCTTTCCTTTCCCAAGGTTCTAGCTCCCACAGGGTAGATCTGGCTGCTATTCAGATAATATCATCTCTTCTCTGTTCCTCAAGCCTCCTAGGCAGTAGTAGCTTCTTGTAATTGTTACATTCTGGGTAGCCTCATTAGCACTTTTTTTTTATCTCTTCTCTGTTCCTCAAGCCCTCCTAGGCGTAGTAGCTTCTTGTAATTGTTACATTCTGGGTAGCCTCATTAGCACTTTTTTTTTTTAAGTTCTTACAGCATCTCTGTAACTAGTTATTTCCCTGTATTAAATTTCTTCTATTGAACTATCTAGCATGGGTTTTGTTCTTTTAACTAGACCTTGATGATACTGATTTAACATACCAAAAACAAAACCAAACCATACCTGAGACAGCAACTAAAATTCAGTAAGGTATGAACAAGAAAAACTATAAATGGAGTTACAGTATTCAACTGCATGGGAAGTTGTAATATAAGAAGAGCCAGTCTGGGATGCATTTAAACTGCAGTTTTGATGATATTCACAGATGGTCCCAGGTGTAGTAAGAAGTACCCAGGAGGCCTAGGCAAGGACTTGGTCTAAGAATAAATTTTAAACAATTCCCACTACACCATGATAATAAAGATCTGCATTTATTCCTGATCATAACTAAACTCATGAGGACTATAGTCATAGATATAGACATCCCCCCACCCCCAAAGGCAGATATAAGGTTGTAATTCATCCACTTAAAAAACAACAACAACAACAACAAAAATTAAACAGCTCATCTTGTTAAACTGAACTTCCTCTACAGACTTTATAGAATTCTCAGATGAGGCAATGTTCTGCTTGGATGCTACAGAACATTGACACAAGAGACTGGACAAGGAGCCTATGTGGTTGACTTATTCGCTTACTCAGCTTATTCTCATGTACAGATGCCAAGGAACTGTGGAATTAAGAGCTCAGACAAATGAACTCTGTATTTGGAGTCCATGACATGCTTTCTCACTGTATAGACAAGGAAACTGAGGCTCAGAGGGTTCAGTGACCACTGTGGATACAAGAAGCATTAGGAAGGTTAGGTGCAGACCCTTGAGATTCTTGGGCAGAAAAACACCAAGGGCACCTGCTTCTGATGGAGAGCAGAGGTGAAATTTGGGCACGAGGTGATGATGGATCACAGGTCAAGAGGATGCTGGTGTTGGTAAGATTGTGTCAGTAGGAGTGCGTTGCAAAGGTCAGTAATGTATTTTCAGTAAGAGTGTTATTTCTCAAGATGGTGGAAATTGTCTGGGAAACATTTTTGTCAAAGGTACATATTTGGCCCAGCCAGAGTGGCTCAGTTGGGTGAGCATAGTCCTGTGCACCAGAAGATTGCTGGTTCGATTACTGGTCAGGGTACATACCCGGGACACCAGGTTGCACGTTCAGTCTCCGGTTAGGGCATGTAGGGAAGCA